CCACAAAGAGAGAGTGTACCCACTAAAAAAGCAGTTTTTGTAATTGGCACATGTTTTGTTAAACCGCCCATAAGAACCATATTTTGACTTTTATCTGGAGAATATCCAACAATAGCTTCCATTGAATGAATAATGGATCCGGATCCTAAAAACAACAATGCTTTTGAATAAGCATGAGTAATCAAATGAAATAAAGCGGCTCGATAAGAGCCCATACCTAGAGCTAACATCATATAACCCAATTGAGACATTGTAGAATAGGCCAAACCTCTCTTAATATCCTTTTGAGCAAGAGCTAAAGTAGCTCCTAATACTACTGTTATTATCCCTATGAAAGCTATTCCATTCATTATGGAAGGTATAACTATGAAAAGAGGAAGAAGGCGGGCTACAAGAAAAATTCCCGCCGCTACCATAGTAGCAGCGTGGATAAGAGCGGAAATAGGGGTAGGCCCTTCCATAGCATCCGGTAACCATACATGAAGGGGGAATTGGGCAGACTTAGCAACTGAACCGCCAAATAACAGGAAGGCGCACAAAGTAACTAATAAAAGATTAACCTCATTATTAGAAATCAAGTTATTGAATATTTCAAACAAATCCCGAAATTCCAAACTACCTGTTATCCAATAAAGACCCAAAATTCCCAATAATAAACAAAAATCCCCTACCCGATTAGTTACAAACGCTTTTTGACAAGCATTTGCCGCAATAGGACGTGTGAACCAAAAACCTATTAATAAATAAGAACACATTCCAACCAATTCCCAAAAAATATAAATTTGTATCAAATTCGAACTAGTAACCAATCCCAACATTGAAGTATTAAAAAAACTCATATAAGCAAAAAATCTCAAATATCCTTCATCATGAGACATATAATTGTCACTGTAAATAAGAACCAGAATCCCAACAGTAGTAATCAATATTGACATAATAGAAGTAAGTGAATCGATCAAGTAGCCAAACTCTAAAGAAAGATCATTATTTATAGTCCAAGACCATACATATTGATAGATAGAACTGTTATTGATTTGATGAATAGACAGATCCACCGAAAAAATCATAACTATACTTAATAATAAAACACTAGGAAAAGCCCACATACGGCGAATATTTTTTGTTGCCGCGGGAAAAAGGAGAAGTCCCACTCCTATTAACATAGGAACTGGAAGTGGAATGAAGGGTATGATCCATGAAAATTGATGTGTATATTCCATACAAAAAAAAAAAAACAAAAAAAAGGATTCTTAATGAGTTTTGTTTCTTATTCGCCAATTTTATCTCTTTTGAAAGGGTTCAGTTAATAAAAAAATGAAAATTAAGATAGAAATAGAATTATCTATTGTTCATTATTCTGAATTTTTGTCCAATATTTCCAATAGTTGAAAGTACGAAGTGAAAATGAGTCAAATGATATGACCAAATTACTAGTGAAAAATCCACTTTTTTTTTTATTAATAGAATATTAAAAGATTAATAATATTAAGAAATTCCAATTTTTAAATTATTATTATACAATAATTTATATCCAGAGAGTGGGGATAAATTATTACACCAAAACGAAAAATATTAGTTTATTTTGATATGAATCATAAAAAACAATCCATCTGATTCAAAAAGATAAGAATTCTTTTTGTAGTTTTTGATTCCGAATCATTAATTTGTTTCGGCACTAATTTTTGATTTTCCATTCCAAGAAAAAGACATATATCTTTGGAAAAAGTTTGTAAAAAAGGTTATGATATTCAACAGTTTACTTTAGATAGAAAAAAGGAATTAAGATACATGATTTTTTAAAATCATGTATCTTTTAATCGACCAAGTAGGCGGGATAAAGATAAGGGTTGGGTTCTTAAACTTTTTGATGTATTTTATTCCATGTATAAATCCAATATGACCAAAATAGAACGATATATAATATAAATAGAAAAGGATAGTTTTTTTGTTTATAAGAATTACATAAACGATTATTAGGAAAAAAAAAGACTATGTTATTTTTACATATCCACATTCCTTATGAAAAGGAGTAGAATAGTATAATTTAGAAAAACAAATAGATAAGATAGATCTATGTCTAATCTAATTAAAGAACAATTCATTTTGAACAATAGATGTCTTTCACATCCAACTATAGCAATAAACAAACTAGTCTAATTTTGGAATGGCAGCTCCAAAAAAACGCACTTCTATATCAAAAAAAAGGATTCGGAAAACAATTTGGAAGAAGAAGGCATATTGGGTAGCATTGAAAGCTTTTTCGTTAGCGAAATCTCTTTCTACGGGGAACTCAAAAAGTTTTTTTGTGCAACAAATACAAACATTGGAATAATCTGAATTAGCTGGACTCAAAGAATAGTCTAATTTCAAAAAAGGGTTTCGTATATATATATATTGAAATCTTTTGAAGATTATTGGTTTTGTGGTCTTTTATATTATATATTAATTTTGATTAATTATTAATATTTTTTTGGAGAGTTTTTTTTAGTTTCTATATCTTATAGATATTTTTATACAAACTAAAAATCAAAATGAGATAAGATATAAGTAAAAATTTTTATTTGTTAATGTTTTGAACTCTTCAATAGAAAATTGACCTCATTTTTGTTTTGGAATTGGCTTTTTTGAATTAAAATTCTTTAATGTTTCGGTTTCTGAAATTGAAATGCAATATTTCTTTCCGAAATATAAGATCTTATATTTCGGAAAGAAATATTGCATTTCAATCAACTCTTTCAATCTCGACGATTGACTAAAAATCGTTTATTATGATTTCGAGCAAGCCGCTATGGTGAAATCGGTAGACACGCTGCTCTTAGGAAGCAGTGCTAGAGCATCTCGGTTCGAGTCCGAGTGGCGGCATGGCATCTTATTTTCTAAAAGAATAAGTCCTATAATGAATTCAATGCCCGATTTCCGTTCATATAATTAGGAGATCTTTTTTTTTTTTTTATATGATATTTTCAACTTTAGAGCATATATTAACTCATATAGCGTTTTCGGTCGTATCAATTGTAATTGCAATTCGTTTGCTAACCTTATTAGTCAATGAAATCGTAGTACTATATGATTCGTCCGAAAAAGGCATGGTAGTAACCTTTTTCTGTATAACGGGATTATTAGTTACTCGTTGGATTTTTTCGGGCCATTTACCATTAAGTGATTTATATGAATCGGTAATCTTTCTTTCCTGGGGTTTTTCCATTTTTCATATAATTCCAGGTTTTGGTTTTAAAAAGCTTAAAAACCATTTAAGCACAATAATAGCACCAAGTGTTATTTTTACCCAAGGCTTTGCTACTTCGGGTCTTTTAACCGAACTGCATGAATCCGGAATATTAGTACCCGCTCTACAATCGCATTGGTTAATGATGCACGTAAGTATGATGGTATTGGGCTATGCAGCTCTTTTATGTGGATCATTATTATCAGTAGCTCTTTTAGTCATTACATTTCGAAAAGTCATAATAAGAAAGATTGGTAAGAACAATAATCTTTTTTTTTATTGTGTCATTTTCTTTTGCTGTGATCAAATACATGAACGAAAGAAACAATGTTTTACGAAACACTTCTTTTCCTTCTTATGGAAATTATTACAGGTCTCAATTTATTCAACAATTGGATCGCTGGAGTTATCGTATTATTGGTCTAGGTTTTATCTTTTTAACCATAGGTATTCTTTCGGGAGCAGTATGGGCTATTGTGGCCTGGGGATCATATTGGAATTGGGATCCAAAGGAAACTTGGGCGTTTATTACTTGGACCATATTCGCGATTTATTTACATACTGGAAAAAAGAAAAGATTGGAAGGTGTAAATTCTTCAATAGTGGCCTCTATGGGCTTTCTTATAATTTGGATATGTTATTTTGGGATCAATCTATTAGGAATAGGACTACATTGTTATGGTTCATTTACATCTAATTGAATTAAAATGAGTATGAGTAAAGGGCCTGACAAATACAAACATAATAAGCATATTATGATAAGCATATTAATATTATGCATATTAATACAGATTAAAATGAATATTTGAAATTAAAATAAATATTATATTCATTTAAAATATTCATTTTAATTTCAAATATTCATTTTAATAAAATAAAAAAATACAATAGATAATAAAATAAATAAAATAGAATATATAATATTAAGTATAAGTAAAAGTATAAGAAAACTTCGCATAAACCAAACAGTCGAGAACCCTTTAAATCAAGTAATGTAGTGATTCAAGGGGTTCTCACAAACACCAAACGTATCCGGTTACAATTCCAATTCATTTTTTTTTTTAAGTTAATCTAGAGAAGAAAAAAGATTTTTTTCATTGTACAATGAACACTATTAAAAAAATAAGATTTTTTGCTCTCTTTAATTTTTTGGTTTTAGTCATTTATTAATGAAAACTATCTATAAAAAATTAGATAGAATAGCTTCGACCTTGTCAACTGATAATGAGAAAATGAAATCCGGATAAATACCAATACCTATTACAGGTATAAGGATAGAAATCGAAATAAATAACTCTCGGGGCCCAGAATCAAAAAAGAAAGAGTTTGGTTTATTAAAAAACTTGTATCCATAGAACATCTGGCGTAACATAGATAATGAATAAATAGGAGTTAATATCATTCCAATTGCCATTACAAAAGTGATTAGTATTTTTGTCATTAAAAGATATTTTTGACTGGTAATTATTCCAAAAAAAACTATCAATTCTGCAACAAAACCGCTCATGCCCGGCAATGCAAGAGAAGCCATCGATAAGATACTGAAAACCGTGAATATTTTTGGCATTGGAATAGCCATTCCGCCCATTTCGTCGAGATAATAAAGACGTATTCTATCATAACTCGTTCCTGCCAAGAAAAAAAGCGCAGCACCAATCAATCCATGAGAAATTATTTGTAAAATGGCTCCATTGAGTCCCGTATCGCTTATAGAACAAATTCCTATAATTATGAAACCCATATGAGATACAGAGGAATAAGCTATTCTTTTTTTTAAATTACGTTGACCAAGAGATGTTGAAGCTGCATAGATTATTTGAATTGCGCCTAATAGAATTAACCAGGGGGAAAATAGAGAATGAGCGTGGGGTAATAATTCCATATTAATTCGAACCAATCCATACGCTCCCATTTTTAATAAGATTCCAGCTAAAAGCATACAAGTACTGTAATGTGCCTCTCCGTGGGTGTCTGGTAACCATGTATGTAAGGGTATAATCGGCAATTTGACAGCAAAAGCAATAAGAAATCCAATATAGAATATTATTTCCAGTGCCACAGGATATGACTGATTAGCTGATGTTTCAAAATTTAATGTTGGTTCATTCGAACCATATAAACCGATACCGAGAACTCCCATTAATAAAAAAATGGAACTTCCTGCAGTATACAAAATAAACTTTGTAGCTGAATACAAACGTTTCTTTCCACCCCACATGGATAAAAGTAGATAAACAGGAATTAATTCTAATTCCCACATGATGAAAAAAAGTAAAATGTCTTGAGAAGAAAATGATCCTATTTGACCGCTATACATTGCTAACATCAGGAAATGGAATAATCGGGATTCCCGAGTAACCGGTTGAGCCGCTAAAGTAGCTAAAGTGGTGATGAATCCCGTCAGTAAAATAGGGCCTATAGAGAGTCCATCTATTCCGAATCTCCAGTAAAAATCAAAAAATTGGATCCATTTATAATTCTCCGTCAATTGGATTAATGGATCGTCCAATTGGAAATGATAACAGAAAGCATAGGTTGTTATAAGGAGATTCATTAAGCATATAAAAATAGTATACCATCTAATTACCTTATTTCCTCTATGGGGAAATAAGAAGATTAAGGAACCCGCGGATATTGGGAAAACTACAACTATTGTTAACCAAGGAAAAAAATTCATGGTAAAAATAAGATACACTTGGGCCAGAAAAACCCGTGCTCAAAATGGAAAAGATTTTCCATTTTGAGCACGGGTTTTTGTCAGTAAAAAAAAGGTATTCGTATGTGGTTTTTTGAAACGTATCAATAAGCTAGACCCATGCTTCGAGTTGTTTCATGCCATAAATAAACCCGAACACTCAAGAAATCTGTCGGACAGGCGGATTCACACCTCTTACAACCAACACAGTCCTCTGTTCTTGGAGCAGAAGCTATTTGCTTAGCTTTACATCCGTCCCAAGGTATCATTTCTAATACATCTGTGGGGCAGGCTCGGACACATTGAGTACATCCTATACATGTATCATAAATCTTTACTGAATGTGACATTGGCTCTATTAATTTTTGAACATCAGCAATTTTCGATCTAGTAAACTTGTAAATGAATCATATATTTCGACACCAGATGAATCAATGATTTACCAGAATTTTTCTAATCAATCTACCTCTGGATCAATTCATAAGAGAGGGCCAAGATACTTTGATTTCTTACGTTTTCGCAAACATGATCATACGTTATACATGGGAATTTGAATTGATAAATATTAGAATTTCAATATTCGAAATTCGAATTTTTCTGATAATACTATTTATTCAACAAATTCGATTGATTGATACGAGTTGATTTTCTGTTACGATAAATTGACGAAACAATAGCCGGTCCAATAGCTGCTTCAGCGGCTGCGATAGCTATAACAAAAATTGAAAAAATATTTCCTTTTAATTGGCGACTATCAAAAAAATCAGAAAAAGCTACGAAATTTATATTAACCGCATTCAGTATAAGTTCAAGACACATAAGGGCTCTAACCATATTTCGGCTTGTGATCAATCCATAGATACCGATAGAAAATAAATAGGCACTCAAAACAAGTACATGTTCGAGCATCATTGACCAACTCCTTATCAATTTTGATTCATTTCAATATGAACAACACTTCAACAGATTCGATTGACTAGAGAATATAACAAGTACAGACCAAAAGAAGATATTGGTAATAAGTCGAATAAGAAAATTCTTTTAAACATAAACACTCTTTCACTTCCCCATTCACATGTAAAATTCAAAGGAAATGGAGATAAAATAAATAGAACAAAATGGAATTTAGATTGATATTATTAGTTCTATTCTTACTGGCGAGCCACGACAATTGCACCGATCAAAGCAGCTAAAAGAATTATTGAAATGAGTTCAAATGGAAGAAAAAAATCTGTTGATAAATGAATTCCAATTTGTTGACTATTATTTATCAAATCTTGCTCTATAATCTGATTTGATCTTGTAGTCCAAATAATCCCGTACCATGATGTATCTGGAATAGTAGTTATTAGTGAAACAAAAATACTTGTACAAACCACCAAAGTAACTCCATCCCCAACGGTCCAAAGATTAAAATCTTGGTAATATTCTGAACCATTTATGAACATCACAGCAAATATGATTAAAACGTTTATAGCTCCTACGTAAATAAGTAGCTGTGCTGCAGCTACAAAATGGGAGTTTGATAAAATATAGAATAAAGATATACAAACAAGAGCCAGTCCCAACGAAAAGGCAGAAAAAATTGGGTTGGTAAATAATACTACTCCTAGACTTCCTAATACAAGACCTGATCCCAGAAAGATTAAAAGAAAATCATGTATCGGTTCAGGTAAATCCATTAGATGTAAAATAAAAGATAAATAAATTGAAATTTCATGACCTTATTGATACGACCAGGAAAAAATTTTATATACTAAATTCCTAATTGAATTAAATCCTAAGGAGTGTGAATTTCTCTAGGTACAGTTATAGGACTAATCTAATTCTTTATACGAACGAGTATTCGAAACTATTTCGAAACTATAAACTATATTAATAAAATTATATAAATCTTTTCAATATTTAAATAATTTAAATATTGAAATAAATAAATAAAGAATTTTATTTGAATTGAATTGTTCGAATTGTATAATCGTCAATTACTGACATTGGTAAACGGCCCAAAGCAATTTGATTATAATTCAATTCGTGACGATCATAAGTCGAAAGTTCATATTCTTCAGTCATTGATAAACAATTTGTTGGACAATACTCAACGCAGTTACCACAAAATATACAGATCCCGAAATCAATACTGTAATTAAGCAATCGTTTCTTTCGAATATCAGTTTCCAGTTTCCAATCAACAACGGGTAGATCTATAGGACATACACGAACACATACTTCACAAGCAATGCACTTATCAAATTCAAAATGGATTCGACCGCGGAAACGTTCCGATGTTATTAATTTTTCATAAGGATATTGAATAGTTACAGGTAAACGATTTGCGTGGGCTAAGGTAATCATGAAACCTTGACCAATGTACCTTGCAGCTCGTACTGTTTGTTGACCATAATTCATGAACCCAGTTACCATAAGGAACATATCGTGAATATCTATGAATATTTTTGTTTTGTTTCTTTCTCTTGTTTGAGACAAGTTATGAATATAGAATATCAATCTTTTACAGTGAAAACAGTCGAAACGAAGTTGTTAATAATAGATTACCCAGAGAAATAGGTAAAAGAAATTTCCATCCAAGATTTAATAATTGATCCATTCTTAACCTAGGCAAAGTCCATCTTGTTGTGATAGAAAGGAACAAGAACAAATAAGTTTTAGCTAATGTAATAAAGATACCAATTGTAGTTCCAAAAACTCCACATGTTTTATTTATTTCAAAAAGCTCAGAAACAAATATGTATGGAATAGAGATATTCCAACCGCCCAAGTAAAGAACTGTTACAAATAATGAAGAAACTAATAAGTTTAAATAGGAAGCAACGTAAAATAAACCAAATTTTATACCCGAATATTCGGTTTGATAACCTGCTACTAATTCTTCTTCAGCTTCTGGTAAATCAAAAGGTAATCTTTCACATTCCGCTAGGGAAGAAATTAGAAAAATGATAAAACCTATAGGTTGACGCCATAAATTCCATCCAAAAAAACCATATTTTGATTGTGCGTCAACTATATCAACTGTACTTAAACTGTTAGATAATCCTAGTCGGTGATAACATTACTGTTCCCATCGCTATTACAGAACCGTACATGAGATTTTCACCTCATACGGCTCCTCGAAGGCCATAAATAAATCTAAGGGACCGGGCCGGTTATTTATCTTGATATATCCCTCGGATAGATAGGATTCAAATCCATTGGACGGTCCTGAATTAGACCAATTGAATTCTGTCTGTTATAATAATAAATACAAAAAGGTACTTCTGAATTGATCTCATCCCTTAAGAATTTGAATTTGTTGAGTAATAATTGAATTCTTCAATTCAATAAAATACTCCTTTAGAATTCTCAATAACCCGTCGTTTTCGATTACGTAAAAAAATTAGACACTAGTTTATGAATTATGACATAAATTGTATTTCCATGAATATGGATATAAGAAAGAATCAAAAGGGATCCCTCTTTTTAATTGTATTCTATTCTTTTGTTTTTTTTCGTTCCTATTCTTCTTTTTTTTTATGTGCAAAACAAAAAGGGACTTAAAAAAAAATTAAAGGATTATTTCGTTTCTGATAGTTATTTATTTAATCAGTGGATAGGAGCATACTCTGGATCGGAATTGTGGGGAGTACTGCCTTATTTTTTCTACGAACTTAAAGCCCCAATTTGTATTCTTTTTATATTATGCAGAAATGCTCTTTTGGAGAATTTACATAATCTCCATTACTAATCCTTTGTGTATCTTGGTGTTTCTAACCATCCACGCATTTTTTATCAATCTCCCCTTATGGTAATACATGTATGGTAATTCATACAAACGATAGTCGATAGTGAAAACTCAATAAGGTTGGTCTTTTGAGCCCGCTTCAAAACAGGATGACTAATCAACCAATTTTGGGGTAAACGCTTTCTTCCGCTTATAATTTTTTTCCACTTAATTCTTATACATAGAAAATGAGACTCAATATTTTTACTGCAGATTCAAATGAAATTCAAATCATAGTATATTAATTCTATATCCTATATCTATATATATTACTATATATATATTAATATATTAATAATATATTAATATATTAATAATATATTAAATATAAATATATATAATAATTAAATTAATATTTTATATTCAAAATAAAATTATATATTCAAAATAAGATATATATCGATTTTTTTTTTAATTTTATATTCTAAGATTTAATATTGAATTTCAATTTCATTAAATTAATAATGAAAATTAGAATATTCTAAAATATTAGAATATTAAATCTTAGAATATTAAATCAATGAATAATGAATAAATAGAAGCTGTTTTATTTCACTCATATAACTATCTGATTTAGTTCATCAATCCGAATTTTGAATAAAAATAATGAAAATCAAAAATCAGGATATCTATTCCATTTTTTCTACCCCTTTGCTATAAAGAAGAAAAGAAATAAAGACGAAAAGAAAGGAGCATGGAAAAGTTTCTGTCTCAACGAATCACACGTAGAGATATTGATAACACACATAGAGTTAATGGTATTTCATAACTAATCGATTGAGCAGCAGCCCGTAGACCACCCAAAAAGGAATATTTATTATTTGACCCATATCCTGACATAAGAAGTCCAATGGGAGCAATACTCGAAATAGCAATCCATAAAAAAACACCGATATTGAGATCAGCTAAAACAAAGTTATAGCCAAAAGGAATTACTGAATAGCTTACTAGAATTGATATGACTGATATAGATGGTCCAATACTGAATAAACGAATATCTCCCCTAGATGGAATAAGATTCTCTTTGAAAAGTAGTTTTGTTCCATCTGCTAGAGCTTGAAGAACTCCCAAAGGACCGGCGTATTCAGGTCCAATACGCTGTTGTATCGCTGCGGATATCTCTCTTTCTAACCATACAATCACTAGCACACCTATTGTGATTCCCAATACAAGAGTCAAAATAGGGACAAGTATCCATATAATTCCATAGACCTCTTTTAAAGATTCCAATCTGGAAAAAGAATTGATATCTTGTATTTCTGTTGTATCAATTATCATTTCAACGATCAACTTCTCCCATAATGATATCTATGCTACCTAGTATTGTCATAATATCAGCCAATTTCATTCTTTTAACTAACTGAGGAAGAATTTGCAAATTGATAAAACCCGGGGGACGAATTTTCCATCTCCAAGGAAAACCATTCTGATCCCCTATTAGAAAAATTCCTAATTCTCCCTTTGGGGCTTCAACTCTCACATAAAGTTCTTGTTTCGGTAATTCAAAAGTCGGAGACGGCTTTTTACTAATGAATCGATATTCAAAATCATTCCATTCTGGATCCTTTTCTCTATCAAAGCAGCGGATTTCTAAATTCTCATATGGCCCCCCCGGAATTCCTTCCAGAGCCTGTTGAATAATTTTTATGGATTCTACCATTTCACCAATTCGTACTAAATAACGAGCTAATGAATCTCCTTCTTTTTGCCATTGAACTTCCCAATCAAATTCCTCGTAACATTCATAATGATCAACTTTACGTAGATCCCATTGGATTCCGGAAGCCCGAAGCATTGGTCCTGATAAACCCCAATTTATTACTTCCTCTCCACCAACAATGCCTACCCCCTCAACCCGTTCTAAAAAAATAGGATTTCGCGTAATAAGTTTTTGATATTCAACAACCCTTGTTAAAAAATAATCGCAGAAATCCAAACATTTATCTATCCAGCCATGAGGTAGATCAGCCGCTACCCCTCCGATACGAAAAAAATTATGCATCATTCTCATACCTGTGGCAGCTTCGAATAGATCATATATTAATTCTCTTTCTCTGAAAATATAGAAGAAAGGGGTTTGTGCACCAATATCTGCCATAAAAGGTCCCAGCCATAGTAGGTGAGAAGCTATACGACTCAACTCCAACATAATTACTCGAATATAGCTAGCTCTTTTAGGTACTTGAATATTTCCTAACTGTTCCGGTCCATTTACAGTTATTGCTTCTGTGAACATAGTAGCTAAATAATCCCAACGTGTTACATAAGGCAGATATTGTACAATTGTTCGGTTTTCTGCAATTTTTTCCATCCCTCTATGTAAATAACCCAATATTGGTTCACAATCAATAACATCCTCACCATCTAGAGTAACAATAAGTCGAAGAACACCATGCATTGATGGATGGTGAGGACCCATATTGACTATCATGAGGTCTTTTCTTGTAGTTGGGGCATTCATAGGTTTTTCCTCGATTCATTCTTCCATGAATTGCTTAAAACAAAACTTAGTTCATCAAAATTCAAGATCTAATAAATCGAATAATTCAAAACGACTCTTCAAATTAATTAGTTTGTGGCTCCCGAATATCCAACTGATTAATTAATTTTTTATAACGTATTCCATTTTTCTTTGACAAATAAGACAAGAGTCGTTTCCGTTTTCCCAGAATTTTACGTAAACCCCTTTGAGATAAATAGTCTTTTCTGTGCAATTTCAAATGTGAAGTAAGTCTTCGTATCTTATTGGTGAAATTCAATACTTGAAATTCAATCGATCCCGGGTTTTCTTCTTTTTTTTCTTGTGAAATAACGGGTATAAATGATTTTTTTACCATAAAAAAATGAAAGCTTGTCTTTCCCCCCTTTTTATAGAGTCTAGATATTTTTATTGATCAGTAATAATAATGAAATGACACTCATTTTCAATTTTGTATATACAATAATCTTAATATACAATAATCTAGAATTCCTGATTTTCTTTTTCAAATCAATTTTGATTAATCAACCCAATTCAAATAGGTATACAAAAAATACTATATTTATGCATTCACAAAAGCAAAATTGTCGACTTCAAATAAGAAGATTTTGGTGATTCATTTATAGATCTAATGGATAGGATATATCATTGAATTAGTATCGTACCTCAGTGAGAATAGAGGGTAAGACAATGCAATGCGTATGTGCATCTATTTGTTTTCGCATACCAGATATGTTACGAGAAATAGAAAAAACAAAAAATGTAGATTAACGAATTTTCAATCGTGGATACATATGTATCCTTACCATACTGAAACGGCTGCCATTTTTGGTATCTAACCAATAGCGATTCATACAAGCTAAATCTTCTAATCGATAATTTGGCCAAAGAAATAACTTTAAATTTATTAGTTTTTGTTTTTCTCTTTCTATATTTTTTCTTGTAGCCAAAACTTGACAGCAATTTTTCACTTTTTTCTCCTTGTAAAATGCCGTATTTCTCTGCACACTCTTTCTCTTCCTCGGATTGAAACAAATTAGAATTCTCAATTCTCTCCGACGTCTCGCGGATAAAAGATTTTCCGGAACAAGCAAATCCTAATTCTTTTTTTCTTTCTTTTCCGTCAGCTTTTGATCTCTTGTTCTTGTAATGGATTTCTTTATGGATTTTTCCAAATTTTTCTTGTCGACGTAGCTTTTTTCTCGGTATCTTTGATTGATTTGGTGCTTTCTCTTGTGAATCAACGAAAGGCCTATGGTTTGATACATATTGAATTGTTCGTGGTTTTTTATAGACAGACGAATCGGTTCGATACTCAATATTCCTTTTTTCATCAATTCCGTATTTTTTTTCAATTCTGTAAGAGTGAAATCCTTCTGATTCTTCATTTTCATAATATCTAGACTTAGTTCTCCTCTTTGAATAGAGGCTATAGCAATTTCTTTTATATTTTTCAGTCTCAGCAGGAGACAATATACTTGGATATTCTTCATTATTCTTTCCTTTAAGCAATCCCGCCAGTTCAATTGAAAAAGCAAATACCTTCTTAGGAAGCAATTTAGTTCTGCTTCGATGTTGTTCGTGTATTTTTTTTTTTTTACACCCTTTTTTATGTCGGATCTGGCATAATCTTCTTTTACATCTTTTTCTTTCTTTGAAGGGGATGCTTCTAGATTTAGTCGACCTGCATATTCTGTTTTTCCTTTCTTTCGAGTCTCTAACTCTAATTCCAGATATTTTTTTTTTTTCCATCGTCTCAAAATATCTATTTTTTTCTTTTCCGTGATGTTTTTCTCCTTTTTTTTTACATTTAAATTGAAAAAAAGGAATTTGATTGGTATGATCCATGGGTTTCTCGTATATGCATTCTAAAATATAAAAATTTTCGAGAAGAAAAAAAATTCCCGATTCGCTATGCAACGATTTAGTATTTCTACATTCATTCCCATCCAATCCAAAAGGTTTTTTTTTTTCTTGGATGGGTTGATTTCTTCCTGAAGCGTAAAATAATAATCGGTATCGATCGAACCCCAAAAATGCACTTTCTTTGTAAGACAAAAATTCAGAATTCTCCAATCCAAACACTTTCTTTCCAAATTTTTTTCCATATCTAGAATAGAATCTTCTACTATATAATTCTTGAGAGGAATATCTTCCGTCATATCCAATTTTTTTTTTTTTCGCGTGTTGGAATTTTAAGAAATCGCTTGGTTTTTTTTTGCTTGGAATGACGATCTTTATCCATAAATATATGAGTCCTTCTTTTCTGCATAATTTAGGGATTTTTATGATAAAAGATCTTACCCATATTGTTTTTTCATTTTTTTTTTTTGATTTGTTAATGAATCTATTTCGTGTTTTTTGTAAAGAATTAATCCGTTTTGTTCCTATGAATGATATTTGGTTAAATCTTTCTTTTGAGCCACATGGCGTTCCTTCATTTTTTTTCGCCATTTGTGGGATACTAATCTTGACCATCCATTCTGAGATAAATCGTATTGATAATGACCTTTTAACCAATTTGTCCATTGATTCATTACAGAATTGGGAGCGCTCTTTTGTTTTAATTTGGAATGAGATATTCCTTGTACTCCAAAAAGATAATCCTTTAGTTCCTTCTTCAGAAAAAGAGGTGTTCCATGATATTCCAAAACGGATCTTAATTTTTACATATATAAGTTTATAACTTGGGTTTGTGATAATTTGTAAAATACATATGCTTGTGACAAAGAGGATACGTCGCAAAAATTCTGTGAATTCGTATTCCTCATATTTCAAATTGATTTTTTTATAGTAGAAATAAAGTGAATTAGACTTTGATTTTTTTTCTCCCTTCTTTTTCTTTCTTCCTTTGCTTCTTTTTTGTAAATGTATTTTGTAAGAATTTTTTTTTGTTGATTCAAGAAAAAGTTGTACATTGATTCTAGGAATATTAATGATACATACAAAGATATCTATATATACCCTTTCTATGAAAAATTTAAAAAAATAATGTGATTTGCGGGATAATCGAACATTTCTTTTTTGTAATATCTGCCAAATATTTTTTTGTAATTCTAATCTTTTATCATCATAAGTTGTTTTCTTAGAACAAATATTTCTCTCTGAACCTTTTTTCTTGTCTTTTTTAAATTTTTCTATTTGTTTTATGATTTTCTTTGTTCTATCATTCAGATCTTTTATTTTTTTTTCTGTCAATGAACAATCTGTCCAATTAATAGATTGAATTGGAATGGTGGATTCGTAAATAATTTGATTCCTCTTACTTTTACTTTTTGTTGAATCTTTTTGAATTTCATTCAATTCATATATTTTTCTCAATCCAAATATAAATAAAAGATTTGATAATGATAGTTTTTTTATTTTTTCTTTTAGAAATAGAATCCTTTTGCGAATACTTTGGATGATCCGTTGTGCTGTTTCTTTTGCTATATTTAGAAAAAATTTTGTTCTTTCGTTTAAGACTTTTAGAACTAGAAAAAAATTCTTTTTCCAAATTTTTATTTTTTTTTTAAGTTCTTTAAAAATGGGATCAAAAAACGAACGTCGGTTTCGGGGAGAAGAAGAAAAGGGCAATTCTACTTCCATTCCGAAAACTGTTAAAAAGAAGAAATCCATTTTTTTCACTTTTTTTTTCATTGGATCCTTTTCCTTTTGAGGGGATCGTAGCTTAGATCTGTATCTGTGCCAAGGTTTCAGACGAAAAGGAAAAAGGACCTTTATTTGAATACCCTCAGTTAGCCAGTTTTTCGGAAATTCTGTTTCGGATAATTGAACGCCATTATAGGTGCATTTAATATACATTTCTCTATTCCAATCCTTTAAATCCTCTGACCATTCGGGAGATTGAAATAATAGTATACGAACGATATTTTTAGTTATTATCAATGAGGGTAATAGAATATATTTTCTAATAATCGATTGGGTTACTAATAAAAAACCTCTTATTACTTGAGCATATATAATGCTATCCCAGGCTTCGGCTATTTCTATACGCCTTTCTTCCTCTTTTTTCTTAATCTCTTTTGTCTTTTCCTCTGTAGAATCCGAAATTTTCAATTCTGTATTTTTATTTTTCCACATCCAATTTAGAAAAAGGATTTTCATTGGCTCGAAAATATCAAAAGAAAAGAAAGAGGGTTTGTCAATTTTGTCCAAAAAAAGAGGAGAATGTGCGCTTGCTTGAAAGATTTTCCAATTAACAGTTTTACGTCTTTGAGCGCGTCTAGATCCTTTGATTATGTCTCGCCGAAAATCCGGTTGTTGTGAATAACGTATTAAAGCTAATTCATCTTTTTCATCAGAATTATCAGTATCCTTGGTATCCGTATAAGCATTGGCATTCTCTGAGTCATCAGTAAAAATTACGACACGTTTGGCTTTTCTTGAACGAATCTCATAATCCGCTGTTTCACCGGATGTTTCCAGGTGTTCTACCTCGTCAATTAATTTGTATGACCATCGAGGAACTTTTTTACTGCTTTCTTTTATTCCAATACATTTTTTTCTATTTATAATTGTTTTATCGTTCGCATCAGTTAGAATTGCGTCGAATAAAAACTTCATTTTTTTTTTTTTAGCTTCGGAATCCATCTTTTCATGTTCTCGAAATAAACAAAGTCCTTTAAAATTGAAATTGGATACTGATTTTCCAGAAAATTGACTGATCAAGTTAAAAAAAAAACGAATTTCATTTGATAATGATTTTTTATCAAATCTATCTATTTTCTGTTCAAAGCCTGGATAATCAGTATTAATATTAAGAAGGATGGCGTGAATCTTATTTATCCAAATGTAGTTTTTTGGGTAAGTTTTATTCTTGATTGAGAATAAAAAACTTTTTTTGATTCGTCCGCGATAGGGTCCGTTCAAGAAAGGATCATATATTTTAGGTAAGTATTTTTTTTTAGTCTCATCATTACATAATCTACTCTTTTTTTCGAGTACATCCAAAGCAAAAAATTCCTTATCTAGAGCTTCGGCCCTATTTAGAAATTGATTCCTTAGGTTGTTTCTTTTTTGTTCATTAATAGAACTCCAACGATTATCCAATTCATCATAGGAGAGTTTTTCTGTTGTGAAGAGAGACGTCTTTCTTTGCATCATTTCAAGAAAAGTTGATAAACTAGATGGATACGTAAAAGATATTTTTTCTTTTGCATCACTTTGACATGTATGAAAAAAGAATTGTGACATCTCATTTCTTACAGCATTTTCAAATTGATCATTTTTGATATATCGCAAAGGACGATGGAATCGTTTATAATCGAAAATAATCCTTAGAAGAGGTTTTTCCAACCGAAAGATATCTTTCTCCTCTCTTTC